TGATTTGACAATTCTATACAATATTCAGTGCTCACCACAGTAAGTGTAAGTAGCCATCTGTTACCATATAATGTTATTACAGGGGAATCTCTGTGAGTTAAGTGTCTGCCTTTAGCTCAGGTCATGACCCCATGGTTCTGGGATTGAGCTCCATGTCAAGCTCCATGGTGTGTGTGTATGTGGGCGGGGGGGGGGGGAGGTCCCTACTCAGTGGGGAGCCTACTTCTTCCTCTCCCTTTGCCTCTCCCCTGCTTTTGTATATGCTCTCTCTCTCATTTTCTCTTTTGAATAAATAAAATCTTTAAAAATATATTAATGTTATTACAATATTATTGAGTATATTCCCTATGTTGTAATTTGCATCTCTGTGACTTATTTATTTTATAATTGAAAGGTTGTACTTAATCCTCTTCACCTGTTTCACTCATCCCCTACCCACCTCCAATCTAGCAACCACCATTCTCTGTTTTTATATTTCTAGGCTTTTTTTCAGTTTTTGTTTGTTTTATTTTTTACATTCCACATATACATAAAATTATGTGGTACTTACCTTTTTCTATCTAACTTACTTCACTTAACATAATACCTTCTATTGTCCATTCATGTCGCAAATGACAAGATCTCAATCTTTTATATGGCCGAATACTATTCCGTTGTGTGTGTGTGTGTGTGTGTGTGTGTGTGTGTGTGTATGCTTTATCCAATCATCTATCAATGGACATTTATGTCATTTATGTTGTTTTCATAAATGGCTATAAGGTGCAGTAAGCATAAGGATGCATATGTCTTTTTGAATTAGCTGTTTTCATTCTATTCAGGTAAATATTCAATAGTAGAATTACTGGATCATATGGTATTTCTATTTTTATTTTTTTGAAGAACTTCCATACTATTTTTCAAAGTGGTTACACCATTTTACATTTCCACCAACAGTGCATGAAGGTTTCCTTTTCTCCACATCCTTGCCAACTCTTCATTCTTTCTTTTTGATATTCGCCAGTCTGACTGGTGTGAAGTTATATTTCATTGTGGTTTTGATTTGCACTTGTGTGATGATTAGTAATGTTGAGCATCTTTTCATGTTTCTGTTGGCTATATATCTTCTTTGGAAAAAATGACTATTCAGGTTCTCTACCCACTTTAAATTGGATTATTTGTTGTTTTTTGGTGTTGAATTGTAGGAGTTCTTTTTATGTTTTGGATATTAACCTCTTATCAAATATATCATTTGCAAATATTCTTTCCCTCCCATTCATTAAGGTTGCCTTTTCGTTTTGTTGATGGGTTCCTTTGCTGTGAAAAAGCTTTTTATTTTGGTGTAGTTCTGATAGTTTATTTTTGCTTTTATTTCCCTTTCCTGAGGAGGTATATACATATATATGTTGCTAAGGTCAATGTCCAAGAGATTACTGCTTATATTTTCTTTTAGGAGCTTTATGGCTTCAGGTCTGACACTTAGGTTTTTAATCCAGTTTGAGTTAATTTTTGCATATGCTGTAAGAAAGTCATTCAGTTTCACTCTTTTGCATGTAGCTGTCTAGTTTTCTCATCACTACTTATTTTTTTTAAAGATTTTATTTATTTATTCATGATAGACACACAGAGAGAGAGGCAGAGACACAGGCAGAGGGAGAAGCAGGCTCCATGCAGGGAGCCTGACACGGGACTCGATCCCAGGACTCCAGGATCGCACCCTGGGCCAAAGGCAGGTGCTAAACCGCTGAGCCACCCAGGGATCCCACTCATCACTACTTATTGAAGAGACTGTTTTCCCCATTGTATATTCTTGCCTCCTTCATTGTAGGTTAATTAACCATGTAAGTGTGGGTTTGTTTCTGGACAAAACGCATATTCTTAACTACATTGCTATAGTTTATGTTTTATTTTTATCAGAGGTCCTTAGATATATTAGGTGTTTCATTAGATATATTAAGATATATTCAAATTGAAACTTCTTAACTATATTTAAATTGCTTTATTAAACATAGATACTTTTCTAGACTGTTTAGTTAAAATGTAAATTTAAATATGATGCATCCAAATTTCACTTAATGCCTTATTTATATATTTTCATAAAAATATTTAGTGAATGTTTTCAACATGGTCCTGTATATTCATTTCGGTCATCTCATTGATCATATTATTGAAATCATAGATATGTGCTTCTAAAATTTGGAAATTGAAACTCTGTTAGACCAATGTTTTATAAATTTGATCCATGAATTATTAGAATTAGATCATGAGGGTTATTAAAAAATGCAAATATCAGTACCTGATATATTCTGAATATTTGATGCCCTGACACAAGATTCAGCATTTCAACCAGCGCTCCCACCTGACTGATTCTGCTGCACTCTCCAGTTTAAAGGCCTGGTTCTTAGAGAATATTTAATCAATTGTATGTAGTCATCTTATTGATAGGGAATCTGAGATTCCCTTATGCTTTTTTTTTCTGTGTTTTAAAGTGTTTACTGTTAATTTTAACATACCTAGGAAGACCTTTTGAAATAGTGCACTTTTAAAGTAAGGGTTAATACCTAGTTTAATCTCCAAATATGGATTTAAGTCATTTCTCAGGTTTATGCCCTCATCTCCTTATATTCTCCTATGTCTGATAGAAATATATTATTTGATTTACAGGGTACTTTTCAAATAAATCTCCAATCCAGTGTTATTTTCTCCCCCAAAATTTTATTAAAAAACTGATGTAGGGCAGCCCTGGTGGCTCAGCGGTTTAGTGCTGCCTTCAGCCCAGGGTGTGATCCTAGAGACTGGGGATCGAGTCCCACGTTGGGTTCCCAGCATGGAGCCTGCTTCTCCTTCTTCCTGTGTCTCTGGCTCTCTCTCTCTCTCTCTCTCTCTCTCTCTTTCTTCTCTCTCTCTCTCTCTCTCTCTCTCTCGAATAAATAAAATCTTAAAAAAAAAAAAACTGGTGTAAAGGCACCTGGGTGGCTCAGTTGATTAAGCACATGACTCTTGATTTTAGCTCAGGTCATGATCTCAGGGTCATGATCTCAGGGTCATGTAGAGAGCCCACTTTGGGCTCTGCTCTGGGCATGGAGTTTGCTTAAGATTCTCTCTTTCCCTCTCCCTCTACCCCTCTCCCCAGATGTGTCTCTCTCCCTCTCAAAAAACAAAAACAAAACCAAAAAAACTGGCGTGACTTACACTGAAAAGTCCAACTTTCAGTTGAGCTCATGAATAAAATAAACTTAGTTTTAATAATAAATATTAATGAACTGTTTGTATAAAAGCTATATTCCTCCTAAAGGTTTGCTTGGCTCAGTGGAAAGAATATAGGTTTAGGGTCATATAGCCCTTAATATCAAAGTATTTAGAGCCAATTATTCCCTGTATGACTTTAGGCAAATCATTTAACTTTGATTTGCAATTTCTTCATATATAAAGTGGGCATAATTCACCTGTATTAAATAGATTGTAACCAAGAAATAAATGAGGTTAAAATGCCTTTTAAGTAATACTTGTTCAACGAATCTTAATTTCTTCTTTTCCTTCTCTTCTGCTTCAGTTTCATGGGTTGACTAATCTCTCTGTTGTCCTGTACTTTAGTATAGCTTTTACAGTTCTGAACCCAAGATCATCTTCCCACCCAGCCCCAGTGTTATCTCACCTTTTTTTTCCCTCTGTAAGTTGATATGTGAAGAGGGACACAGGGGACAAAAAATCATCATTGTAAGGTGCAGCCACTGAAAAACAGTATGGAGGTCCCTCAAAAAAAGTTAAAAATAGATCTATCCTATGATCCAGTAATTGCACCACTGAGTATTTACCCAAAGAATACAAAAACACTAAATCAGAGGGATACATGCACCCCAATGTTTATAGCAGTATTATCTATAATAGCCAAGATATGGAGGCTGTCCCATTGATAGATGAATGGATAAAAAAAGATGTGGTTTATGCATTTAATGGAATATTGTTCAGCCTTAAAAAAGAACAAAATCTTGCCATGAGCAATGACATGGATGGAGCTAGAGAGTACAATGCTAAATGAAATATGTCAATAATGGAAAGATAAATATCATGATTTTACCCCATATATGGAATCTAAGAAATGGAACAAATGAGCAAAAAGAGAGACAGAGGGAGAGAGAGAGAGAAATCAAGGAATAGACTCCTTTTTCCTCAAATATTTTATTTATTTATTCATGATAGAGACCATGAGAGAGAGGCAGAGACATAGGCAGAGAGAGAAGCAGGCTCCATGCAGGAAGCCCGATGTGGGACCCGGGGATCATGCCTTGAGCCAGAGGCAGATCTTAACCACTGAGCCACCAGGGTGTCCCAAGGAATAGACTCTTAACTATAGAGAATAAACTGATGGTTCAGAGGGGAGGATTCAGGGGGATGGTTGAAATAGATGATGGGAATTATGGAGGACACTTGTCCTGATGAGCACTGGTAACACATGGAAATGCTGAAATACTACATTACACACCTGGAACTACTATCATCCTGTTAACTAATGAATTAAAGGCTTAAAAAAATAAGACATCATTGTGGGTTAAAAATTTAATTGGAGAGAACCTCCTGGTAGTTTTGCTCTCTTCTATTTGTTGTATGATTACTGGAATTCCTTGTTTTAGATCCCCCCCCCCCCCCAAGGCTATTTTTCTATAAGAGCTTCTAAAGATTGAGAGCTTTATTTTTTTATTTTTATTTTTTATTAAAGATTTTATTTATATATTCATTAGAGGCACACACACACAGAGAGAGAGAGAGAGAGAGAAGAGAGAGAGAGAGAGAGGCAGAGACACAGGCAGGGGGAGAAGCAGGCTCCATGCAGGGAGCCTGATGTGGGACTTGATCCCCGGTCTCCAGGATCACACCCCGGGCTGAAGGTGTCGCTAAACCGCTGAGCCACCGGGGCTGACCTCTTTTTTTTTTTTTTTTTTTTATTAGTTGTATTTAAAACAAACTAATCAGCAATATAAGGCCAGTTGGAGACTTACGTTTATGTTTTGAATTTGTCTTTATAGGCTCCAAAACCAAGGAAGGAGTGGTTCATGGTGTGACAACAGGTAAGCTCCATGGGACTTATATCCAAGAATGATATTAAAAATATCTAGTAAACATTAATTATTCAGAGTGTAATTGTAAGTAGTCACTGTGTTTGTAGAGAAGCATTATAAGGGACTACCAACTTTGTTTAACTTTAATTCTTTATTAAATATGTTTAGATAAGTAGTTATTACTGATAAATAAACAATATATTCCACTGTCAAGAATGATTGCTCTGAATTGACCAGATATGTTTAATTTATGGTAGTATAATATATACTCTGAAATATTATGTTTTGGCAAACTGCTATGATAAATTACATATAAGTATTGCCAGTTTTCTAAGGATTAATGTCATATTTCCTGTAGAGTATAATAAAACATTTTGACATTAAACTATACTCAGTATAACGCTTCCTTGATGATTCAGAAAACATTTTGGGAAACACCCTTGAAGTAATCAATGAAGTATTTATTGTATTTATCTCTATTTGGCATAACTTTACCAAGAATTGGAATAGGTGTATTATATTAAAATAAATTAATATCAAAAATGATGAAAATTATGGTGGTGATGATGAGGAGAATGATAGAGACAGATAGAAAAATGAAAGTAGAACTGAAATTTCATAATCTTAAGAGCCCACAGACTTGCCATGATTCAGTTTCATCTTGTATGTATTCCAAACTGCCTGACAGATGTGGTAAAACAGGATATATAATCAGAAATATAATTCACATGATCAGAAAGCAGTAAACGTAATAGTGTCTCAGAAAATTACCATGTTCCTATTACCGAATTATAAAATGGAAATGGGGAAAATCAAATGAGAGTATAAATACAGTATTGTGGTTGATGCCATGACACTGGAGCCAGACTTCCTTGGTTCAAATTTCTGCTTACCACTTATGAGCTTTGTGATTTTCTGTAAGATTCATAATCTTTTTGTGATTTAGTTTATCTGTAAAAGAATAAAGAAATTTAATGTATACAAATACCTAGAGTAATGAAATCAAGTGGTGTGAATTATGTAGGTGTTATTTATCATCACTTTATAGGTGTTTCTATTTGAATAACATTTTTACAGCTAGTGAAGAAAAATATTTCATATGACTATTTTATATATGCTTTTGATAATAAATGAGGGCACAAAATTAAAATAGAACCTTTTGAAAGGTTCTGCTAGAAGCTACATTAACGTATGCTGCTTGCTTTTGCTCTGTTGCAATCCAATCAATATGTAATGCCCAGAACTAGGCAAGTTAATGAACTGTGTTGACTTCTTGGGACCATCTATAAATATGATTTATTAAGCAGGATTTTAATAAGACCTGGGTAGTAGACAGTTGGAGACTGTAGTATCTGAAGAGCATAGCTAGATTAAAAGTGTTCCATTTGATAGCTGAAGAATCCATGTGGTTTACAAAGTAGATAAGCATGTGGCCAGATTTAGAGTCTGTGGTAAAAAGTAAAGAATATAACTAATAATATCATCAAATGGAGGCTATGGACATGAGCTGCAAGGGTAACTAACAAAGCTGGAATTTGCATCTTCTCCAGAATGACACAAAGTGAATATGAGTTTGTGTGTATGTGTGTGTCTGTGCACATGTGTATGCATGCTACTGAAGTTTGTACAATAAGGCAGCAGTTTGTTTTCTGAAAAACAGTAAGTAGACTGCTACTTTATGTTTCCCTGGTTTTATAATATTGAGGAACTTTGCATATCATGCCTTCTTTAGCATATTGAAGAATCTGAGATATTCCATAGTAAAGAAATTTTCATAATTTAGTTTAATCCAGGGCCTTTCAAATTTATTTGACCTTATATCAATAGTTACTAGGATTGAATGAACCAGTGTTCCAGAGAACACTATGGAAAATGCTACTAAGCAACAAGGCCATGAAGATTTTGATGTGGGTCATATTTATAGCCATTGTAAAGCCCTCAACTACTCTGACAATAGAAAAATATTGAAAATGTCCTAAGTAGTCTGACTATGAGAAATGCAGTGGGATAAATCTGCGATTAATACCATCCTTTTCCCATATCAGGTAATGAGTAGGATTATTTAATATAAAATTCCAAAGTCTAAGTATAAGGATAAATGAATTTAAGATAATTACCTCAATGGTTAGGGAGAAGAGAGGAATTGGTTACCATACCTGGTCTAAAATGTTTCTTAGGGCTGCATAACATAAGTGCTAAATAAATGTTATTATTGTAAATACTCAAAGCAGGGAAGTGAGAAACTATTATATAGTATACAACATCATCAGCTAATGTTAAAAGAAAGATTTCCTCAAGATTCATCCCATTTCTTATTTTTGCAGAAATAATAGACTTCAGTAAACTTAGTTAGGCCAAGAGTTTTCTACCTAAAAAATTCCAAGAAAAATAAATTCTCCCAGTTAGATAATCTCATCATAAAATCTAAAAAACTCTACCTTACACCCTAGCTATTTGATCTCAGTGCAATATTGTTGCAGTTGTCAATTTAATGCATTATGTTATGGAAAAATATGAGAATGTATTTATTTGGATGTACTGAATGACATGTCTTTGAAGACACTTTAAAAAATAGATGTTGATAAAATCTTAATTTTTTTTCCTCATGAAAGTATAGTATAAAGAAATTCCAATTATTGGAGATTTTCTGAAAGTTTTGATTCTTATAAACAGAAATTTGTTGCATGATAATGAACACAACTAATTTCAACATATTATAATTTAAATTTCCATATCAAAATGTTTTATAATATAAATTTATTTTCCTCAGATATATAATTTGTACAACTCAAAGCTAGATCTTCTTAACTTTATGATTGTGTTTAATATGAAAGGTTAGAGTTACTGTAACTATTTGAAAAGTTGGTTCCCCATTTTCTTTCTGAGATTTCATTTTTGAGTTAGTCAAATTAAATCTAATTATTGAAGATAATGAATAAATTACAGAGTACACAAAATTTCTTTTTAATGCATTCATAATCATTTATTGAGTATCTGCTGTGAAATACTATAAAGAAAAATAACAGGATCTCTGATTTTAATGGACTCCAAGTAGACTGGTGGTGGTGGAGAGGCACATTGGAAAATGAATAATTCTGGCACAATGCAATAAGTTCAATAGAAGAGATATATCTAAAATTTTCTGAGATCACAGAAGGATGAACAGGACACTTGTTGGGAGGAAGGTTTTTAATATGGAATTTGACAGTTGAGGTGGGTTTTAATAACAGCTTGAATTTGCTAGGCAAACAGATAGGGAGGTATCTGAGAAGGATTGAAGCTTCTGGCCAGATGGAGCTAGATGAATGAAATTGGGAAAGACTGGCACATTTAGGGTAAAACATAAAATATTATGCTATCAATTAGTTGGAAGGAAAGTATCGCCTTTGATCCTAGGTATGAGGTCTTTTTCCTTAAAAATGAATATCATTTATTAGAAACATTATAAAAGGGCATAACAGTGGGGAATAGGGGCTCAAGGTAACTGAATAATCCACTAGATAAATCAAGTCCTACAGATATATTTTAAATTGTATATATTATCGCTACATGTACACTCTGTCATTTTGTAAGGTAACTAATTTGCTTGCTTTTACATTGATAAAATCTGATGAAGTTATATTAAAGGACAAAGTGCATTTTACTGTGAAGTTTATGTGCATTACAAATAAATTAATGTCTATAAATATACAAAGAATGGTCTAGATATATAGAAATAACTTTTTGTGGCTTGTAGAAAAATCATGAGTCTGTAAAAAGATCAAAATTTATTCTTGTCTTTGAGATCATCTAACAAGAAAATGTTCATTTTTCAAGCAAAATTTTCTATTCATGTTCTTGGAAAAGAAAAAAAAATGACAAGTTAAAGCCCATAATTCACTATTTTTAAAGGATCAACATTCTGGAAATGTTTAAAAACATGAAATAACTTCTCACTGGCATTTAAATTGAACTTTGCATTGGGAATAACCATAACTTGTTAGGAGACATCAACCATATCCCCAGAAGTGGCAAAAGGCAAATATCAAGCAATACCTTCTGGTGACTTCCTGATTTTAGAATCTAGGGTCACTTCAGCTTCCCTACATTGCCCAGAATTGAGAGTAAGCATCTGTTCTTACAGACTATCTTACTTCCATAACCTGCTCTTTGAAACTCGGTTGTCTTGTCCGCATTACTCAGTCATTGGCCTTCTCCAATGGGTGACACGCAATCTATTCAATTATCATATGCCTAGCATATAACATTTGCCAATTTAACAGCTGACAGTGCAGCTCATCTAGTTAGTTCCTCAGGCTGGGCTTTATCTGCAGAGGATGTATGCAAGCATAAAGCATAACCAAAAAAAAAAGTCTCGATTTGCTTAGGAGGGAGCCTGAAGAAAAATATCATTCAAAATCCCCAAATCCTGAAATCTGGAAAAAAGGCAGAAAAAGAGTTTGTGAGACAAAAAGAAAAGAGGATAATATTATGTAGATGGACATAAGAGATGCATGATGCAGGCTTTTTGAGTATAAATTTTATAAGGTTTAGATGAATAGAAGTTGTTTTATTTCTCTATTGACATTGAGATTAAGAGCAGAAGCTCATCTGTTTTTTCATAGAACTCTTAATTGAAACAAACCTTTTTTTCATTGGAGTTTCCTTTATTTGGCAATTGCATGGAGGTAATTATAGAAAGATTAATTCAGTAATATCATATGGTCTTGGAGAATTTTTGATATGAGATTAAATCTTCTTCCAAATGTAATCCCAGACTATTTACACTTCTTCTCTAAATTTTTAACTTATTTTTAAAAATCTACTGAATCACCATATTGTATATTGTTTTATGAAAAAAATTGTATATTTTATGAAAAAAATTGTTTTATGAACATTAAGTATGATCATTTTCATACTTAATGTCTAGCTCTTTTTTATTTTACCATTTATATTGTTCAAAAATCAATCTTTTTATTAAAAACCCTGTCTCAACCACTTGAAGTTTGATAAAAGGATTAAAATTTCTTTATAACCATCCCTTACTCTATTGTTCTTTTTTTTTTTTTTTTTTTTTTTGCTTTTTAAGTTCTTTAATTTTAATTCCAGTTAGTAAGCATAGAGTGTTATATTAGTTTCAGGTATACAATATAATGATTCAATAATTCTATGCATCACCTGGTGCTCACCACAAGTGCACTCTTTGACCCCTATCACATTGAACCCTTCCCTCCCGATAACCACCAGTTTGTTCTCTATAATTGAGAGTCTGTTTCTTCATTTGTCTTTCTCTCTTTTCTTTTCCTTTGTTCATTTGTTTTGTTTCTTAAATTGTACATGTGATAAATAAATAAATTCCACATATGGGTGAAATCTTGTATTTGTCTTTCTCTGACTGACTTATTTCACTTAGCATTATATTCTCTAGCTCAATCCATGTTGTTGCAAATGGCAACATTGTTATGGCTGAATAATATTCCATTATATTTATATGTCTATATATCTATGTATCTATATCTATCTATATAGATATCTATATGTAGAGAGATTGATTAAAATCTATAGATAGATCAATAGATATATCGATTTATATAGATATAAATTACATCTTCTTTATCCATTCATCAATAAATGGACAGTTGGACTGCTTGCATATCTTGATTATTGTAAATAATGCTGCAACGAACATAGGGGTGCATATAGCCCTTTGAATCAGTATTTTCTTATTCTTTGGGTAAATACCCAGTAGTGGATCTTAGGGTAGTACTATATTTAATTTTTTGAGGAACTTTCATACTGTTTTCCACAGTGGCTGTACAAGTTTGCAATCTTACCAACAGTGCAGGAGAGTTCTTTTTTCTCTACATCCTTGTCTTGTTATTTTGATTTTAGCCATTCTGATATGTGTGAGGTAATACCTCCTTGCGGTTTTGATTTGCATTTCCCTGATGATAAGTGATGTTGAGCATCTTTTCATGTGTCTGTTGGCCATCTGGATGTCTTCTTTGGGAAAATGTCTATTTATGTCTTGTGCCCATTTCTTAACTGGCTTGTTTTTTGGGTATTGAGTTTGATAAGTTCTTTATAGATTTTGGATACTAACCATTTATCAGTTAAATCATTTGTAAACATTTTCTCCTATTTAGTAGTTGCCTTTTAGTTTTGTTGAGTGTTTCTTTTGCCGTGCAGAAGCTTTCTATTTTGATGTAGTCCCAATAGTTTATTTTTCCTTTTGTTTCCCTTGCCTCAGGAGACGTATCTAGAAAGATGCTGCTATGATCAGTGTCAGAGAAAATACTACCTTTGCTCTCTTCTAGGATTTTTATGGTTTCAGGTCTTGAGCATAGGTCCTTAATCCACTTTGGGTTTGTTTTTATGTATGGTGAAAGAAAGTGGTCTATTTTTTTTTTTTTTTGTATATTGCTGTCCAGTTTTCACATTACCATTTGTTTAAAGGACTTTTCTTCATTGCATATTTTTTCCTCCTATGTCAAAGATTAATTGACCATATAATTGTGGGTTTATTTCTTGGCTTTCTATTCTGTTCCATTGATCTAAATGGCTCTTTTTGTGTCAATACCATACTGTTTTGATCACTTTAGCTTTGTAATATAACTTGAAGTCCAGAGTTGTGATACTTCCAGCATTGCTTTCTTTTCAAGGTTGCTTTAGCTATTTGGAGTCTCTTTCAAATTTTAGAATTGTTTGCTCTAGTTCTGTTAAAATTTCTGTTGGTATTTTGATAAGAATTGCATCAAATGTGTAGATTGCTTTGGGTAGTATAGACATTTTAACAATATTTGTTTTTTTTTTTTTTAATCCATAAGCATGGAATGTCTTTCCATTTCTTTGGGTTGCCTTCAATTTCTTTCATCAATGTTTTTATGGTTTTCAGAGTACAGGTCTTCAACTTCTTTGGTTACGTTTATTTCTGCATATCTTACTATTTTTGGTGCAATTGTAAATGAGATAATCTTAATTTCTCTTTCTGCTGCTTTATTGTTGGTGTATAGAAATGCAACAGGTTTCTATAGATCGATTTTGTATCCTGTGACTTTACTGAATTAATTTATCAGTTTTATTAATTTTTGGTAGAGTCTTTCAGGTTTTCTGCTTATAGTATTATGTCATCTATATTGTTCATTTCTGATGGTAATGTGAGCACATATGTGTTGTATGACTCAGAAAGTGTGGTGAAAATGAATATGCTGATTTAAGAATTGGCATTGAAAATGAAATAAAGAAATAAATACCTGATACTACAATAGCTGTACTTGTGATCATTGCCTTTCCCTAAACTTTCCTTAATAATATATTAACTAAACATCAATTGCTCAAAGGCTCTAAATTTGTGGTCATTACTCTTGAAGCACGTGTTAATATCTGTACGATTACAGCAACATATCTTAGTGAAGATTTAATGTTTGTCTAAATGATACTCACTTAAAAATCTCTGAGGCTTTTATTTCTTCTGACACTTCAGTTGTTTATAATATGTGCAAATACAGCTCTTTAAAAGTTGACAGCTAGTGAAAGTGAAATTATTTTAAGTCCCTGTTGTTCCATTGTCCCTTAATCTGTTGTTCTGGATTTATCCCAGTGGCTGAGAAGACCAAAGAGCAAGTGACAAATGTTGGTGAGGCCGTGGTGACAGGGGTGACAGCAGTAGCACAAAAGACAGTGGAGGGAGCAGGGAGCATCGCAGCTGCTACTGGCTTTGGCAAAAAGGATCAGTTGGGCAAGGTATGGCTGCATACATTTTATGTTATATTTTTAAAGTCTCAGGATCACAGTGCATTTTCATGGAAGGCATTAGGCAAGAATAAGATGCTTAGGGCGGGCTGACTGACTCTCTTCTCATAAAAAAAAAAAGGACTACTTTTATGTGGGTATTCTTTTTGGAGGACTACTTTTATGTGGGTATTCTTTTTGGAGGTATTAACCCAGATAAATGCCATGAAAATTGTACAGTAATCATGATTGTTTCATTTTCTGGAATACAGTTAATGAAATGAACAATGTAATAAATATCCAAAGAACAGTGACATTTCAGAAAGAATGGGTGCTTTCAGCATAGCTATGAATCTTGCAATCTCTCTTTGTTGGAATATAACAAATGCTTTGTGCACAACTGATAAATTGTCAAATTGAAGATCTTTCACTTGATTTCTTTATAATGACATCATCTCTTATTAAATGGCACTTTTGCTTATCACATAGCAGTTCATCTGCAAATATAGGTTTGTGGAGACTGAGAGTCAAATTGTATACCAATCAGAGATCATGGTTTTGGGGTGATTTTTAAATTCTCCAAAGAAATTTGACTGCATTTATTGACAAATATGAGACTCTAGAAAGATTATTCAAAAAATATCATGACTGTCATTTTAAACAGGTAAGTTATAGTAAATGAGGTGTCAGCTGGAAGATGAGATTTCATAAATTTTGTGACCACAGCAGCACAGATTTTTGTTGTTTCCCTGGCACCATGACCTCCTTGTTATTCCTTGAACAAATTGAGTACTCCCTTGCCCTGACTCCTTCCCCTATCTGGAAAGTTCTTCCCCAAGGTTATATACTTGGTTCACTCCTTCATCTCCTCAGATCTGTGTTAAATGACACCTTTTCAGTGAGGCCTACTCTAACCTATTTGAGATTGAAAACACTGTCCTCACTTCTTGTGTTCCCTATCTCCCTACTCTTTACTTTTTCCATTTACATTGAAGCATGTATCGCCTTAAAGAGTCATAAATATCTTATTTTTTTAAAAAGATTTTATTTATTTGTTTATTTATGAGAGAGAGAGAGGGAGAGAGAGAGAGAGAATGCTTGTGCATGGGGGTGGGGCAGAGAGAGGAGAGAGAGAATCTCAAGCAGACTTCCCACTGAGCCCTGAGATCAATGACCTAAGCTAAAATCAAGAGTTGGGCATTTAACAGTTGAGCCAGCCAGGTGCCCCAACTTACTTCTTACATATGTAGTTTACTATTTTATTTGCACCCTACTAAAATATAAACCCCAGGAAGGTGGAATATATCTTTGTTCACTGATATTTCACAAGTGTCTAGAAGAGTACCTGCACATGGTAGATAATTAGAATTTTTTTTTCTGATAATTAGAAATATTTATTAAGAAGGAAAGGAAAGAAGGAATAAGTGTATAAGCAGAGTGACTTTTATTTCTGTGTCTAATAATTACATGCATTGCATAGCAACTGTGGCTATTTATCTGAAAGTTATAATTGAAATGGTTTTGTAAGAAATATTTTGAATACTATAAGAAAGTAGCTTTATTTGCTGGCAAGCTACTCTAGATTGTTTCTACCCCATGTAATTCTATGTGGCAGGCCTGCCTTGATGGATCATTAAAACATTGATTTATAAAAAGGCAGGACTAAAAATCTGGGACATACAGAGATTTATCATATGTATTTATATCATCTGGGCAATTGATGCTAGTTATGGAAAATCTGAGCTGGGCTTCTAGTGTAGTTCTTCAGCTAACACTTAAGTGTATGGTTAATGATAGTAGTATTCCTTTGTGTAGATATGCTCTTATTACCTGTGCTAATAATCATACAAATTTCTATTTTCTTTTTTTTTTCAAATTTCTATTTTCCATCTGACTTTATAAATTGTATTTATAGCTTTATTACATTTCAAAATTAGGAGGGACCTCAGGCATTAGTACAGAGGCAATTAGCTTGTTTAATGTCCCAAGTGCTTCTGACAGTCTAATAGAAATGATGGATTCTTCTCAGGAATACACACAATAAAGGCTTGGGGGGACCTGAAAAGCCCATCAACAGACAAAGTCCATGATTTAGACCAATCCTGTGATTGTACAGATAAGGAAAACAGAATCTACAGAGGGGGAGTGAGCAGTCCAAGGTCATATGGCTGATTGTAATTAACTAGATGCTCATACTGCTTTTCCATCTATGTCACTACCCCAAGCACTTCCTCAAAATCTACCTTCCTTTTGTTTTTTTGTAAACTGAATTACAGACAACCAGATTTAACTGGAAAAATTCTATGCTTCAGAATAGTAAGAAACCAGGGAAACATGTACAAACCCCTTCTTACCTCTATTTAAGGCATACTATGTAAATTGCAAATAAGGCATGAGAGTGCTTCATTTCTTACAAAATTGGGCTTTTTTTTACTTTTCTAAAAACATTCCAATTTAATAATTTAAAGCAGAAATATAAATGATATTACAAAATTAACTATTTGGAGATATTTCTCTTAACGGGTACTTACAAGTTCTTCCATATTTTTAATATGAAAATGAAGCCATAAAACCTAGAAATTACAGCATAGTTATAGAAAAAAAAAACACATTAAACTGAGAGTTTAAATGGCTGATTTTCATCCCTGCTCTGTCATCAATAGGCTGAATGACCTTTTGAGGATCTCCTAAGACTCTTTCTCATATAATGAGAAACTATAGCAGAAAATCGTTAAAGCCCAATTTAGCAGTGATGTTCTGAGTTTCCATTTAACTCAAGGAGGATGCTAATAATCTTTTCTTTGTGGCCATATCTATGAAATGCCAAAAATGCTAGAGAGTTTAGATAAAATCTTTCAATTTGTTCATTATGAGATTTGAAGTAATATAATTTCATCATTCAAACTCTGATCAAAATGATTCTGGTAAAGGGAAATAAGTAGATTATTGTTGCTTTAACTACTTGTTAATAACTCCATTGATGTACTCACTCTTTATTCAAGAAATAAAGCTTGCTCACTATGTATCAGAAACTTTGTTAGATATTGCGGTTAAAATGGTGAGAAAACCATACTCAGTTTTTGTCTTCATAGAGCTTATCATCTGGTGACAAAGATAATAATAATCATCTAATTACCACACAAGAAGTATGCCATTCTAAACTATGAAATGCTATGGATACATAATGCAGAGAGTATCCCAGCTTGTATGGGGTAGGGATAAGGGAGAGCATTACAAAAACTTCTCTGAGGAAGTGATGTTTTCATTGAGATCTAGAAAAGTGACTGGCAATTAATAAACAAGTGGGAGGTAGAGGAAAAACATTACAGGCAAAAATAACAACATGAAGAAACCTCATGTGGTAGGAGACCATGGCAAGTCCTAGAGGACTGTAGCCAGAGCCACAGAAAATAAGGTAGAAGAAGCTGGAGAGATAAGTAGGGTCACATTCTGGTTGACCATGTTGAGAATGTTGGTCTTTTTTTTTTTTTTTTTTTTTAAAGCAGCTCAGTTTTTATTTTTATTTTTTTTATTTATTTATGATAGTCACACACACACACACAGAGAAAGAGGCAGAGACACAGGCAGAGGGAGAAGCAGGCCCCATGTAGGGGAGCCCAACATGGGATTTGATCCCGGGTTTCCAGGATCGTGCCCTGGGCCAAAGGCAGGCGCTAAACTGCGGCGCCACCCAGGGATCCCGAGAATGTTGGTCTTTAAGAATGAAGGAACCTATTGAAAATATTTAAGCAAGGATGTCAGGTTATAACTTCACATGTTGAATAGATGTCTCTACTTGCCTGGTAGGAAACAGATTAAAGGGAAAGAAGAGTGGAAACCAGGGATGAGTTAGTGGGCTGTGATGGAAAGAGGAGATGACTGTATACTCTAAGGTGTAGGTGGGGAAGAGAAAGAAATAGATTAATTTAAAGACTATGTAGGAGTTAATATCAACAAGATTTGGTAGTACATTTCATGAGGCTTGGGGGAAGAGGGATGTGGTTAGCAGGACTATTGGATGTTAGCTCTTTGAAATGGATTAATGGCTGTGCCATTCTCTTGGCAGTTGGTGCCTGTCTTAAATATCAGCAACAGTGCAAAAGGAGTGGCTACTTTGATGTTTAGCCCTTTGAGGGTATTTGGCCCATTACTCCCTGATTGATAGTGGAACAAATCTTTTTTTCTTTCATTCCCCCCCTGCCCCTCCTCTCCCCTCCCGTTACCCCCTCTCCTCACCCCTTCTTGCCTTCCTTCCTTCCTTCCTTCTTTCCTTCCCTTTTTTTTTTCTTTCTTCCCTTTGGTGTTTTCTTTTTCTGTTTTTTAAACCAAGAGCTCTAATAGCTCATTTTGATTTTTCTGTTTTTATTTGCTAAATTTATCTCTTTGGGGATGTTTGCTTTGGTGTGTTCTATCTCCTTTTGATGTTAACAGAGAGATATGATGATATCTAGATATTTTTTAAGTTTGAATTTCATATGACTGAAGCTATCTTTAGTAATAATTTCTAATTATAAGACATTAGATTAAAGGACAAATAGAATGTCTTGAATTTTAAGAATTTGCTTTATCAAATATTATTAGCTTCTCTACTGAATACATTAGAATAGTGCATTTACTGATCTATATATTTTTACCTGTGTGCACACAAGCTATACAACTCATTTCCTGAAGCTCATTCACTTGATTGGCATGGTAGAAACAGGCTGCAAATGTATTGGCAGAAATGCTCAAGTTTTAAGTTCAAACAGTGATGTTATATAGACAAAATTTGTTTCCTACTTATATTGAGAACAAATTATCTGCTTGTACCAAGACTATTATAAATAAGCATAATGAGTAAGAGTTTTTCTGTAGTACATCTGTGTTTGAAATATATAGCTAGTAACTGCAACATTTAGTCCATTCCAACCGCTTAACAGTGCTTTGCTTGTGATTACTGCTCAAATAAATCCTTACTGAACAAATGAGCATTTCTTTAGTGCTACTGGAATGCGCTAGAAGAGTTGGATCCT